AAAGAGTCAGGGTTTTTGCTGCTTTCATGCAGGGGTGAAGGGATGTTAAACAATTTCCTATTTTGTTATCAAGCAGGTAGGCTTTTGTTTCTAAAGAGCAAATGGTCTATAAAAAAAAAAAGACGACTGTAAGAGTTTGTCTTTGAAGAAATTATCTTAAAATAAAAGAGGACGTCCAGAACAAGGAAAGGATTCTGGAAAGCAAAGTTAAATCCTGGGGAGATTGGATTTCTACTGTTTGATGGCAGAAGTGGTGTGAATTCCAGCATTAGTGCCATTTCAGAATGAAAACAGCTTCTATGCCAGGAAATTGACTGGTGCTAACTCTCTCTAATTAGAATAGTACTGGAGTGCCGGGTACAGTCCTGACAGTGAAGTGTGTTCCTTTGATAAATGAGTTACTAGCTCTATTCTGTTGACTTCCAGATGCAACTTTCAAGGTGGCCTCAGCTAGTAAACAGAGGTAGAAAACATATCCTCATACATTCGCTTCATGCTTGAAAAACAAGCAATTTAGGAGAAGACATCTGGACCTAAATTTGAACAGGACTCAGAGCCCATCAAAACATGGATTTCATGGCTTGGCGTCTGGCTGCTAAGCAACGCACTTCTTACATTCAAAACAGAGTTGTAAAAGTAGAATCTTGGTGCCAACTCTGGGTATTTCTCATTGAAAAGGAAATAGCTCTGAAAGTTTTTTTTCGGGCCTTAAGATACTTGATTTTCATGAGATGGAAGACCTCAGATCATCTCTTCTCCAGCCTTCTTTTTTTTTTTTATGCTCTGAAGTATTAGGCAGAGATTAACTTTGCATTGTGAAATACTCTCAAATGAATGCTGCATAAATGCCTTGAAATATTTTTTTCAGCCCCCTAATTAGTAACACTCTTTTAAATTGGGCGCATCTATTGAAAATACACACGCATTTCAAATATTTGCTTCCTGTGAAGTTAGATGTATATACTACAGGGCCAACCACAAATGAAATTTGCTTTCCTAAAAGTATGCTTCTGCTTGGCAAGGAGGCCAGAGAAGGTGCATAGATTTTAGATTTGCATAACATCCCTCACAGTTT